CCCCCGCCCTTAACTTCCTCTTCTTCCCCGGCTGGGCCCTCGGCTGCTCTGCGCTCTCCTCCCCAGTTCGCAGATTTCCGCCCACCTTCCGCCTCGCCTAGCCGCAGCGCAGCTAGCGGGGTGTTATTTTCGCCCCCTCTGGTAGGAGTTGCTGAAGGTGAGACTCATGAGGGAGTACAAGGTAGTGGTGTTAGGGAGCGGAGGGGTTGGCAAATCTGCCCTTACTGTGCAGTTTGTCACTGGGACTTTCATTGAGAAATATGACCCCACCATTGAAGATTTCTACCGCAAAGAGATCGAAGTGGACTCTTCCCCCTCCGTGCTGGAAATTTTGGACACCGCAGGAACTGAGCAGTTTGCCTCCATGAGAGATCTCTACATCAAAAACGGCCAAGGTTTCATCCTGGTTTACAGTCTGGTTAATCAACAGTCTTTTCAGGTAACCAAACCAAGTCTTGTAATTTGTTAGAAGGGGGTGTGGTAATCCTACATCTACTTCTGATTTGTTTGAACCGTGCGTTAATGACTGTTTTGCTTTTGAAAGTTAGACCTGGCACATTTTCTAGGTAATGCATGGAAAAGTATTGAGTTGTTTCTATAGAGGGGACTAAAATAACAAGCATCAACAAACATTCTAAAGTCATTATTAAGGAAAAGAAAAGTGAAAACGAAATAGGTCAGCCTGTACATATGTAGCCTGGAATAGAACGTTGTGAAGTTGCTTATTCAATTCAACAAGTACTGGTTAATTTACTCAACGAAACAACATTTAACAGGTAATCTCTGCTAAATAGAGCACTCTGAAAGGAAAAGTATTGGGAGCTCATTACATAAGACCAGGGTGTGCGTCCCCCACCCCATTTCTTTCCCAAGTTTCTCAACTAGAATTGTAAATCTTGGTGCTGCAAGCTGAACGAAAAACCTGCCTTCTAGGCATTTTGCTTACTGACTTGGGGCTTGTAGAAAGGGAAGTTTCTCATTAAAGAGGCTTGTGCCTACAATTAATAACTAACAAAAATCAAAACTATTCTTTTCTGCAGTTGATCTATATTGTTTCTGGTAGCATAGCCTGTATTTTATAGATTAAAAAATGTGTGGGTCTAGAATCACTAAAGGAGTGCACATTTCTTACCCTGGCAGTGTGGTCATAGTGTATGTGGTCCAATTTCTTAGGAAAATCGGCCCTATCCTTTACTGGGAGATAGACTGAAGGTTTAATGTTATTTTAAGAGATGCAATAAATGTTGCTATTTATTCCTTGAAAATAAATAACCGTCTATTGACCCGTTATATTGACCTCCATTGATTTAGGAAATGGATATTTTTTTCTGCATTTAAGGGTATGCACTTAATGTTGCTTACCTGAGAGACCTTAAGTGCTTTAGCCAATGCAATGTGCTAATTTCACATTCTTTAGTATTTTGAGTTAAAGTACTACAGTAAATTTTTCCAGTAACTTTATATAGCAACCTCAAAGATTTTTTTAAAATAACAAGTTTTGAGAAAGTGTGTAAAAGCTATCAAGACCAAACTTAAGTTTATTTTATATAGACTTAAATTCCAAACCAAAGTGTCATAAAAGCATTTTTCCACAGAAACTACCAAAGTACTAAAGATGCTGTTTGACATAAGTTTTCTTTTTAAAGATCTTCAAGGATTTGTTATTCCTATCAGCTGATTCTCTTGAGGCTGGGAGTGTTTTGAAGGGTGTTTCATAAGATTTCTATTATATTCACTTCTGTTATGGACATAAGTAGAGAAAACCATGGCATTATTTTAACAGATTTAGACTTGTTAGAGCCCAAATGCCATAAATTTGGATTCTCAGTTGAACTTGTGTTTTTCATAAGGACAATCAGAAAAGCAGCTTAACCTAGAAGACTGAATTGACACCTGATCAAACCAAATTTTGCAAATATCAAATAAATGTATTATAAGTTTTCACTAACCGTTGTTTTTTATATGTTTTGCATAACTATTCAGGTTAAATACACACATTTTATATTTAAGGCAAATCTTAAGTTATAAAAAAATCCCCAAAATTGTAATGCTAGGATTAAATCTGTAATATTGTCTTAAAGGTTTTCCCCTCCCCAAATTAATGCCACTGGAGAATTGCTAAGGTTCTTATCTTTTGTAATTAATTGTAATTGCTTAGAAAATGTAATACACAAGGGGAAAATGTCAATTAATAAAAACAAACATAGGCAAAGAAAAGTGTGACTTCTTGCCACCCAGAGGATTCTTGTATTATCCTTCCTGGAAGGTGATTTGTTACTGTAGTATTTAGTGTATTTTAAAGTGTTTAATGTTACTGAGATAAAGACGTACTATTCAATTTTAAATGAAAAATTTAAGTGTGAACTGAATCTTTTTTAAAGCTAGTCTTCCAGACATTATAAAGTGTTTTTTATTCCACCCAAAACACTTTCCCTCAGGCTCTCTTGCTGAATGGCTAGGAATGCAGAGATTCTGCAACCCTGTGCTTAGATAACAGGTGTTACGAGGAGCAATGACAAGCAGGCAGGTTTAGGGTGATGGCCAAACATCCTTATGTACAAATGTATTAATCATATTTTGGAACTTGATTTTTTAAATCAGTATAGACTGAGGGTGGGGGAAGATTATATGAGTTCTAGAGTTAGTGTTCAGCCTGTATTATATATTTCTGACACGAACCAGCAGGTAGGGCTTATGGAAATTATCAAGTTCCTACTTCACAGGAAAAAAAATGATATGTTCTTTATTTAGGTGTGTGATTTTGAATTTGGCTTTATATAATCACAGATGGATGACGTTTTGCGATATTATACTTCTGCTGCAAACCAATAATTTTTTTCTTTCTCTTTTTGATCATCTGAATAGGATATCAAGCCAATGAGAGATCAGATTGTCAGAGTGAAGAGATACGAAAAAGTCCCACTAATCCTAGTAGGAAACAAAGTGGATCTGGAACCAGAAAGAGAGGTTATGTCTTTGGAAGGCAGAGCTCTGGCTCAAGAATGGGGCTGTCCTTTCATGGAGACATCGGCAAAAAGTAAATCAATGGTAGATGAACTTTTTGCTGAGATCGTCAGGCAAATGAACTATTCATCCCTGCCCGAGAAGCAAGATCAGTGTTGTACAACTTGTGTTGTCCAGTAAAAAAGATAACCTCAATCATGGCCATACCGAGCAGGTTAGTTGTTGATGGGAACTGTAATAAGCCAGGTAGTGTTTTTGTTCTTGATCAATTTTAGTAAACAGCTGGTTAATATTAATATGTATGATACTACTATACATTTATTTTTATACTACTTTCTTCAGCATAAAATACTCCGTCAACATTCAGTGCCAAATGTCTAAAAAATGTAGATGAGCAAAAAAAGATATGAAACTGCCTATATTCTCATCACCAAATTTTTTGAAAGTGAATTACTATCTTTTCCTGTTCTTTACAAATCATATTTTTGGGGGGTGAATCAAAACATAATACACATTTTCTTTGTTTTGCTGAATGAGCATCAAAAATGCACAAGAGAACATTGAAAATTCAGAAGATGATTAGTTTTAAATTTTTTCCCTAGGCTTTTATGCTTTTATATATCCTTGGCAAGAGAGGCGCAATAATTGAAATCATCAGTTTACTAATCACCCAAGTACTTGATTTAACAGGATGATTATTTAATCAGGTTCTTCTGTACCTTGTACTGCAGGGATTAAAGTGACCTCTGATAGTAACAAATTATAATGCCACAATGCACCTTGACTTCATTATGAATATATGGTCCATATGAGAATCTGGTTAAATCACCTGTGCTGTGTTAAACTAGCCAATTAATAAATAATGGAATTAATATCAAGCCTTCTGTTGAGCTAACAGTTTTTTTAAATGATAGGTTTTGAAAAAGTTAGATTATACAAAATTTGCCTAGCATTTAAACTGCGATTTTATTTTTATTATGATCCTTTAGATTGTAAGAGCATAATCATCTCACTTAGTAACAATTACATAATAAAATAAAACAACCAATTTTGTGGATGACTGAGAAACCACAGCAAATGCCAGACTAGCCTGACAATATCAGGAGTGAAATTGATCTTTCTGAGCCCAGGCTGACCTCGAGTCTAGGAAGCAGTGTTGCAAATGGCAACAGGCATTTCAGATCGCAGAGATGATTCCTAATCAAAGGTCTGGCTTTATATCTGCTCCCTGGAGAAAAGACTAGCAGTCCCTGATTTATCTTTTCAGACAAGGTCTTCTGTCAAGTAGTGTCATATTTGGAAATGAACAATGAAAACAGTGCTTTATTCAAAATACTTTTATTCATCAGCCTTTAGCATACTAGCATATGATGAAAACTCATTTTTTTCTTGTGTCTAGCTATATCTGCTATAAAGTCACTATTGAGACTGTAGGTGTAGGTCAGCTTGTTGATAGTGTTAAATTTGCAGCATAGTTGTTTGAGGAAGGGACAGGCTTATGTAGGTGATTGAGTCCCATATTCTTCCTTCTGTAATCTCTTTGTAAATTGTAAACCAGCTTCAAGTATGAACAAGTTTGTGCAATTATTGAATTGTTATCATGATGCTCTATTTCTTTGACACTTTTAAGTGGACAGATGACTTAAATATGTACTTTTTTTTTTAGTTTCATCATCATTATAAAAATTAACCAAATCCCACAAAATGTTTCTAGTTTCCTGTCATTAGTGTACATAGCTATAGGAGGTAAAAAGAATGAAATTAGCCTCATACATATAGAGGCAAACTGTTGCTAAATGGATAATTTCTAAAGCTATTTTTAAGTCTTTTTTTTGCTTGGAATTATTTCTAAGTTCATTTCATTTTGTAAATTTTTGTGATCTGAATTATTTTTAATCCACTTGATTAATCTGTAGAGATGCATGTGTGGATTTTTTTATATGTCACGCCAGCTGTGATTTCATTTCTTATTAATATAGTAAAAATCAAGCTGGCCATCATAGTGTGGGCTATAATCCCACGTACTCTGGAGTCGGAAGCAGAAGGATTACCAGTTCGAGGCCAGCCTGGGCAACGTAGTGAGAACCCATCTGAAAAAGCAAAACAAAACAAACCCTCCCCCCAAAAGCCAACTAAAAATCAGAAATTAATAACATTAATTATTCATTTTTTTAGTCACAAATGCCCCTGAATTTTTGCTTGGTCTTTCTTTTTGTAAGCAGAGTACATGAATGAAAGTGTGGACCTTTAAATAAATACCTAACCAGCTGAATTTTGAAACTGTTAAAGAGAACTTTCCAATCAAGATCTTTTAGAACAAAGTACAGTACATTATATAATTTTCTTTCTGACGTCAAATAAGATTGAACTGATATGTATGGAAATCTGCACTCTGAGGCTAGTTAATTGTGTGGTTGTCTTTGCTTACTACCTAACAAAAACTATGCAGTGAGCCAGACATGGTGATACACACTTATAATTCCAGTACCCTGGGAGGCTGAGGTGGGAAGATTGCAAGTTTGACAGCAGCCTAGGAAATTTATTGACTTAGTGAGACCCTGTCTCAAAATAAAAAATAAAAACAGGCTAGGGTTATAGTTCAGTGTGAAGGCCCTGCATTCAATCCCCTTTACCCCCCCCAACACACACACAAAAGAGGACATGGATTTTAAATTTTGTAGTTTATGAATCATGGAATTAGATTGAAGATAAAACTTTGACAAGTAGAAGTAACTTGAGAAATGTTTGTCCTTTGTATTCAGAAAAGTAATTTGTCTAAATTAGAAACAATAGGACTTAAAAAAGGACTGTGATTGTTCATTGGCTGTGCTTAACTGAAAGGGAAAATTTATTAATACTCTAGGAATTGTTTCTGATAAATCCTTGCGTTTATTAACACCCTTTAATTTGGGTCACTTGTCTCTTGCCCAACACCTGTTTATCTGCATGGCTCCCAGGATTGTTTCCTCACCTTTTACCCTCCCACTGGCAATCACGTTAGCGTAAGTTTGGAAGCATGGCCAGAATTTGGCTACACAGCCGTAGTCATCATTGCAGTGCTGACCTGTAGGGGTGTCTTCAAGTGCTTTACAGGACATCTTTTGCTGTGCAGCAGCAGTATAGCTGAATCCCAGTCAGTGTGGTAACTGCTTTTTATTCATTATGTCATAGTTTCTCCGTATTGGAATAATTGGCAGTTTGCTCTTTTGGTATATTATTGAGAAGGGATAGATGTTTTGTAAATAATCTCATAAAACAAGTTAATAATTTCATAAAACAAGTAAATCACAGTGCTGTTGGGATTGAGAGAAAGGAGAGAGCAGTTTCTCAACATTGTGGACTCTGTTGTCTGGGTCTGTCTTATACATTGACAAATGGTTTGTGGCATCCTTGACTTCTGCCCTCTAGATACTGATAATATTCCCCCTTCCTCTGGTTGTGACAAGAATATTTCCAGAAATTGCCAAATGCTCTACGGGGCAGTTGAAATAGCCCCTGTGGTTAAGAACCAGTGAGTTAAAGGAGCTAGGTGGCAGTAGCATTTGATTCAGTCCTTGAACAATGGGTACAATTTGAGGGACTGAGAGGGATAGAGTTATTTCCAAGCAGAAGGTATTTAAAGGAGTACAATATCCTAAAATTATTCTGTCCATTTTTGAATGGAGGGAGGAGGTGATTAAAATTATCCCTTAAATGTGACAATTCATTGTAGCCTTTGTCAAATGAAATTTTTAAAAGATGATTTTTAAAGGATTCCTATGTGTCATTCCAGTATTGATGAGAGTTATAAAAAAAGAAAATGGGGTGGGGGATGTTCTACACCTCAGATCGCAGGTCGCCTGCAAGATTTTATACTATTTTCCTTATTATGGAATGGGTTTTCTCAAGTGGAGTAAATGGTGCATAAGAGTAGCAAACACCAGGAAGCAAACTGAAAGAACAAAGATCATTATTTATGTCAGCCCAGTTCATTATATATGTCAGCCTGAAGAAAAAGGGAGACTCTTCTAGATTCAGGACCAGCACATCATTTCACGTGGCAGCCGAATGCCTGAGATGTTAACAAAGGCTCCTGAAAGGCTGAACCATCTATGAATGTCATTTTACTGTAGCTGGACTTACTGTTTCTAAATATACTGGAATTGATTAGCATTTTCACAATTTTTAAAAAATAAATAACAATGTAGAATCAGAATGCCTCAGTCTGTTTGCAAGCTTTTCATAAGATATATGCTGGGAGTTTAACATGTGCAGAGGAAAAAGATCCATAATATTAAATCCTACCATGCACTGGCGTTTTCATATGCAAGTTAAATATTAATCCTATCAGTAAAATACTGGAAGGAAATTCTGTTGTAGAAGTTACAGAATTGTTAGATAACCTTTTTTTTTCCTCCTACCCTCTTCTGCGTTCACTTTGAGTGGGGATTAGAGAAATGGCTTAATTAAAATGTTTGTCTGTCGTCCAGTTTTCATAGTACACCCCAGAGTAAAGCAGAGGACTTGGATGGCGGAAGAGGCATGCTGTGGGATAGTATGTGCTGTGAAGGCCTACCATAGACTTGGAGTAAAAGGGAAGAGCAGAGCTGCTTGCCCTTTCCTGACCCCCAAAAGGATCACTGTTTAAAGTGGACAGGTGCCTAGTTAGACCTGCTCTGGAAGTGGAGGTGTCTCATAATTCGAATGACTCTGTATACCTGTTCCTTCTTTTAATTGCTTCCTTTTAACCTCAAGGTTAGTTTGACTCATTGCAGAATGAAGTGAATATAACCATTCGGTTTTATCCCATTACCTCTCTGGCTTTGAATGAACCATCAGTAGAACTAACAAAAATTGCATCGTGGAGTTGGAGAATTTTCACTAAAGAAGTGTTCTAGCCATCCTACAGGAAAGAGTTTCCTTGTGCGGTTTCTTCTCAGTGGAATTCTACAGTTCAGAAGATAAATGTCACTGAGAAAAATTCAAGTCCTGTCCACTGTTGGAAGAACTTAGTCAAAAACATATTCCTAAATTCATTGGACAGTACTTGGAATACCACATTTAGAAAGTGCAGTGTAGAGCTGATTAAAGTAGTGCTTCTCTTCTTGGACTGATTCACAGTTAGAAACCATAATCCTGTCACTGGGCTCACACTGGTGTTTATCATCACTGCACCTGGTCATAGTATTTGAGCTCTCAATTGAATTCATAGTAATTTGAAACATGGAGATTTTAGGTCTAGGATATATGAAAAATCGCAAATTTCTTCCCTTCTACCTAGTTCACCACAAACATTTAGTGTGCGCCTTCATTCAAGTGCAGATGCACTTCCATTCAAGGAAATATATGGCACAGTTTCAGCTTTTGCTCTCTGTGTGGTTTCTAGTGGGTGACAGCACTTTTAATGAGATGATCTTCCTTTCCACCCCAAGTAAGGTTTGTAAGTATACAAAATGGGGTAGAAAAACAAAACTGAATATATTTAACAAAAATATACAGAATTCTAACTATGTCTTTCTAATATAACTAATACTTAAATTGGATATGGAATTACCAAGTACATAAAAAATGTGAGAGGAAATTCATTTTTCAAAAATTCCTTTGGATAAATCCCTATAATATAATGTGCCTAAATCAAGAAAAAACTTAAGTAACTCTGGTTGCACATTTATATTTATTAAAAAGAGAGAAAGAGTGCTAGTAAATATCATTGTATTTAGAAATGGTAAAACCAGGTAAGCTAAAAAGACATTCACAAATTTCTAACGCTTTCAGGAGCTTTTGTTAACATCCCAGGCATTCTGCTGCCTCCTGAAGTGATGTGTTATTCTTCAATCGAAAATCTCTCTTTTTCTTCAGGCTGACATGAATAATGATCTTTGTTCTTTCAGTTCTGTGTTTGGCACTCTTGTATACCAATTTGCCCCACTTGGGAGACTGTATTTCATAATATGCTGAGCAAAGCATTTGGGCTATTATTTATTTTGTACACCCATTTTTTATTAGAAAAAGAAAAATAAAGTGAAACAAAAAGTTAAGCACGAGTTGGAGTAGAAGTTTGCAGAATTAAGATTTTCTGGGTATCTTGCTGGAATCTGAGAGTGAGAACAAGATTAACTTGTGTTCTGTCTCAGAAGCATCAAGTAATACCTTTGCAGGGTGTATGGATACAGTATCCTGTGCATTAAAAAAAAGTAAATTTGACCAGCTACCTTTAAAATTTCTGGGTTATTTTTTCTAAATGAGTGATAGTGTTAATACACTGAAAATTTTGCTGTCTCTCTTGAACAAGAATGTTTACATTTTATGTTTTCTGAAGTTCTAATCTGAGACACTATCCTTTTTGTTTAATGCAAGCTTTTTGTTTCAGGATTTATTACTGTACAAAGTTCTAATTCCTTGTTCTTTTGAAAAATAGCCAGCATCAATACTTTGAACAATATTAGCACGTGGCGTACTTTTAAACAACATGCCAGCTTTTGAACAGTAAGCCAAGTACTAATATTGTTCATTCTGACTCCAGAGATTATCTCTTCATTTCACTGGAGTGTTGTGAAGGAATATGGATGGGACAAAGGTGAACGAGGTTTTTTGGGGGGTGGAAAGTAATGAATATATAATCTTTTATTTACTATAGGTTTTGGTTAGTATACTGGTTTATATTAATGTTTACTTTGGCACCATATGAACCATAAGTACTTCCTCATTTGATTTCAGAAAATGCCTAAACTATTAAATTATCACATTTTATAAGTCTTCACTATTTAGGAGACATATTTGGCAATCTCAAGATTTTTATGATTATTTTGAAGAAATGCAGATTAAATTTTATAGGAAACTTATTAATTCAAATAAATTAAGGGAAATGTCTGAATTTCTGAAAAGTCTTCATAATGAATTGCTTGTATACAGTAATAAAATACTGTTGTGTTTAAATAGGTATAGAAAATTCAGACAAAGTTGGAAAAAACCCCACAAAGATCATTGGTCTTCTTCATTTGGGAAATGAAAATAATACCTGATATTTATGCAATCACTTTATAAAATACTTTCCCATATTACCTTATATGATACTTACAACATTTCTTGTGAAGAAAGTATTTTTATCACTGTTTTAATAATGAGACAACTAGATTTTCCCAAGCTTAAATAATCCATGTCCTAATTAACTTTAATGCAAAAAATATTAACTTTAATTAGCAAAAATGTTTCTGATAGTTTCTAAAGAGAAAAACTTTTTTTCCTAATATATTTAGGTGGCCGAATTTCAATAAGCCAGAGCTATGTTCCTTAAAAGTAATCATGGTTATGATATAGCTACTAGTAAAGTGTTCTCTCAGGATCTCTGAATACTATAGAAGTGTAGCTGTCAAATGAAATTAACATTATGCATTTATAAACATTGGTACAGCCCCTGGAGACCTTCTGCCAGCTTTGCTTGCCATTATTTCATAGTTGCTATTCTTTTGTTTCTGGTTTTATGATAACATTTTTTATCTCCCACGTTAAAAAGCAAATGTGATTCCATTCACCTAGAAGCTATTTGGTGATTCAGCACAGCTGAAGGATGTTGTGTCTATAGGAATGATAGATTTTTTTTCCCCCAGTATTAAATAGAAGTGCAGAAATCTGTCAGCTACAAGAGCAGGAATCCCAATCACAGAAGTTCTATCCTTGGGAATAGTCTATCCGAAAAAGTCAGACCAGACTGGAAATACGAATTACTGCCATCAGTTAGCACCTACCCAAACCAGGGCAGCTAGTAGATACTTAATATTTAAACTCTGATTGAATCACATCTTTTATTTTGAAATTCCAAAACAACTAGATTTTGTAAAATCTAGCATACTGTCAAGTTAACTCATAATTACCTCGGATTTAATTCTAATACAATTCAAGTACTGAAGAAATCAAGTTCAAATTAGGAGCACTGTTTGTCACAGCTTTTCAACAGTAAGATCGTTTAAACTAGTTAGAACATTTTTAAGATTATGTAAGTACGAGTAAAAAGTATAATCACATTAAAACAAACTAGAGTAGTTATACAGGCGTGATATAATATATCCAGTGAAGCATTACTGTACTTCTACTTTATAATGTCTTTTCCGCATCACAGAAAATTACATTTTCACCTAAACTGATGGAGAACACAGTAAAATTCTACCTGAGGATTTTTATTGTTGTCACCTCTTCTGCATAGGTCCGTCTATTATTTTTTAAAACTATAATTTATATTTGTACAGTTTTATGACATGTTTGTCTTAATTGCAGATAAAACTCAGAGGAAATTTGCACAGATGCTGCTTTGGAGAACTTTACAACCTGGGTTGCAGAACTGAGCCTTGGTAAACCTGTCTCTATTACAGCATGTTGCCATACATCTAAGTGCATAAGGTCTTTGGCCTTCAAGATCCAATGACCTTACACAGGAATGCTTATCACGTTTACCATATGTTTAAAATCTGTTCTTTATCAATCAGTGCTTTTATAGCTTTCTAAGTTCTTATTGATGGTCAATATGCAAGGATTGATTTTTAACATTTTAATTGATTTCTTTAATCAGTTTCTCAACTTGTATTTATTAAACACTCAAACTCAGTATTACCTATTCAATGCCTTTTAAAAGAAAGTTATAATGGAGAAAAAATTGAGCCTTAAACAAATGGTTACTTCTGTATATTACCTCGTACCAGTGCTTCATCCTATTTGTAAAATCTATCTCCTTTAAATGCTTGGTTAATATTTTGAGGCTTTGTTTACGTGTGGCAGTGTTGTAAAAAGAAACTTAAGATCATATTTTACCTGGATGGATGGAATATCCCTTTCTTCAATTGCAGTTTGTGATTTTTGTAATTAACATATTCTGAAAGTTACAATTGATACTGGAAATTGACTACATTTAGTTGAAGAGTTGAGCATTCGATTCCATTAGGTTTTTCACATGTGTTGATCTCATTTACAGCATTGAATTGCGGCAGTAACATTTTCCTTTCTGTGAAGTTCTAAATTTAGTTATGACCTACTTAGTAATGCTTTTGAAAAGGGATATTGTATCCATGGTAAATCAATTGTATACCTACACAGATAGCTCAGCTTTGCCTGGCAGGCTTGTAATTGACATCTAGTAGTCTTCTGCACATGTAAAATTGAATTCAAGTAAAATCATGTACACTTTCTAGTTCTTAATATTTATCCTTCTGAATAATAGTTTAAAGCAATATTTGTTAAAGTTTTCTTGCACTATCACAATTGCTTTTTAGTTATTTCTCAAGAGGCATGTTTGTAGTAGAGACAAAATCTGTGTAACAGGAGGGAGAATAGCACCAAGCCTCTGGGCTATTTTTTTATTTTTGCAAATGTGCATTCTAATAGCCATTGCCTTCCATGTTGTTTACCTAATCAGCGCATTTTGTCTGAATACTTGAACATTTTAACAGTAACACAGGTATAGAAACAGAAAGGAAACTTACAAAGAGTCATCTTTTGGTTCAGTTTCAACATCAGGACAATGAGTGCTTTTTCTAGCAATGATTGTTCAATTGTGTAAGTTTGACAGTATTTTGTTGTTGGGTTTTCATTTGGTTTTATTTGTGCTTTGAATTTGCAGAAGTTAGTAACCGCAGCTCACCTACTGCACCAAAGTTCTCGATTTAAGGAGCCCAGCTTTAGTCATTTGAACATGCTTCTAAGTAAAATAAAACAAACCAAAACTATACTTTTGACCTATAATAATAGCTCAATAACTTTGTCAAGGAAAGCTCTAATATATGCAGTGATGGTTTATGGAAGGGTGTGGCAATTTTTGAATTTATATTGTGTGTGATGTTCAAATAAAGTGATACCTACATTCATGTGATTTATTGGTCAGCATGACCATTAATTATTGAATAGAAGTGGATTAAACTTTGATTTCCTTTTTTTAAATCGTGTTGTATTTGATTCCTGATCAAATTCCCTCAAAATGAACTCTTAATTCTTGAATTTATGGTGAGATTGTAAAGATGGAGGCAATTGAAACATTATTCCTCATTTATAAACTGCTTGAAATGAATATATTGGTTTAAATCCAAACTTAAACCAAGCACTCATTTCAAAGTAGGTTACGTGACCATGATTCATGTTTTTAGCTTTGTGAAATTCGAAAGGAATCAAATAATTCATGATGATTTAAATTTTCTGCAGATTGATTTTTTTAAAAAAAACAGTATTTCTTTCCTACAAATATTGTCATCTTCCCCCACCCCCGTCTCTCTCTATTAGTGTTCATTGTCATTGACCTCAGCAGCAAATTTATCTTGAATTCACTTAGGATCGCAGGAATCAGGGGAAAGTGATTTTACAAGTGGTTTCTCCAGCACATTTTAAGAAAAGGGACCAAAAGTTATTTTAGCTTCCTCAATAGATTGCATGTTCCTATTAGGTTAATAAATTAATATTAAATGCAGTATATGTCTTGTCTTTACTATGGCATCTGTTTAGGAGTTGTTCAAATCACTGCAGTAGGGCTCTGCAAATAAAATCATGTAACCTATTATCATGGATCTAATGTACTGTAACTTTATCAGTGAACGGTAAAAATCTCGAATAACAAGTACAAACATTGAACAATTACCTATAAAGATTTGTAAAAGTAAAATTTTTCCAATAGATTTCATTCTTGTCATTTTGTAAGATGACCCTGCAGTCCACCTGTTTGTAACTTTTTTAATAAAATAGACATCTGTATTACTGAGGTTGGTTTCTCTAATTATTTCATGTATTACTGCTTTTCTAGGTGTACTAGTGCATAAGTCTCATAATTGAGAGTCATTACTTTTTATCAAGATGATAGTATGCATTACAGAGGATGTTTAAACAAAAGTTAAATGTTCACTTATTTTCTTAGCCACTGTTTTGGCATATGTGGGGAAAAATATGTCTTAAAGTAGAATATTTAATCCAATCGAATATCTCATAAATAAATCAGAAATTATGAAAAATGGGTAAAAAACAATGCATATAATGTGGCCCATATGGAGAGAGTGCCCCAAATACAAATTTGTTGGTTGGGAAATGTCTTTGTACAGATGATTTCAGGAAACATTGAGCAATACAATTTAATTTAGAAATACTAAATTAAGGAAATTCAGTACAAGTTATTACTTTGGCAAAATCTTTCAGTAGATAAAACAATGACTTAATTCACAGCCTTACTCAATATTTTTAAGTTGTTAAACTGAGACTCTTTTAATCTTAGTATATTTTAGTGTATTTTATTTTTTGTGTTTTTACAGTGTTGAGGATTGAACCTGGATTCTCAGACATGCTAGGCAAGCACTCTGGCACTGAATGACAGCTCCAGTCTTCTTTTTTTGTTTTGAGACACAGTATTGCTAAGTGCCCAAGTTAACCTAAGACCTGCAATTTTCCTGCCTCAGCCTCCTGAGTAGCCAGGATAATAGGCATGCACAACCACACTGAGCTAATCTCAGTGGTTTTTAAACTCATAAGCCTTGAGTTTAGACAGTTCTGCTCAAATGTGTTTGGATCATGTTTTTTAACATTGTAAATGGACAGCTTTATATACCTGAGTCATACCATATAGAAAATATTACTGTCAATTCATTGGTCTTTAGTTGGGCTCCAGCTATATTATATTGTATTAAATGCTGTCCTTGGAATCTCAAAACATTTTTTTTCTTTTACAGTGAAGCAATTGATTTCAGAGCCCTCATTTTTTTTCCAGTAAAGGAGTAGTAACCTTTCATTTAGCAAGGTTGCTATTTCTAACAATGAGAGAGTCAGAGTGACGGGGAGAATGAGAGGATGGGGTAAGAGCTAGGAAAACTAGGCTGTGGAGCCTGACCAGGATCAGACTCTCAGGAAGATCACCTTTCACACCTCCCTTCTGGCCTCTTCACTCATTGTTGTCTTGGGAGAGGATGCATCTTGTCTTTGTACTCCAAGATATAGCGCTTTGGGGTAAAGATCCAAGACTCTTAAGACTTCTCTTACAGATTTAAAGCAGGGATAATTTCTCAGATAGGCTCCTGCTTTCACCTGGATCTCTCTCCTTTAACGATTACTGCTATCTGGTGTTTTGGACTTTATTGTCCTCATTTTATAGCTGATGAAACCAAGGCTCAGGAAAGTTGTGATTTAAGTTCATAAAGGCAAGGGCAAACTATTAAAATGTTGAGAAACGTCCTTTTGGGGAAGGTTTCAAATTTATCATTGGATAAAGTCAAGTGGAACTGTTAAAATTATAAAGCTCATGGACTCAAGATAAACAGCAAAAAAATAGCTGTTTTAAGTCAGGGTGACAGTCCGTATGTAATGCTATAGGCCCTATTTAAAGGTAGTGTGTGTGTTATATTGCTAAGAGTTTATGTAAGACATAAGTTATTTTCATTATAGCTGTTTTTCATTGGAAAGGCAATATCTTAATTCAGGGATTTGGCAGCCTGTGGCTGCCAGGCAGAATCCAGCCCAGTTAGTGCCGAAAGAACTAGAGATTTAGCAGCTGTATCCTGAATCCATTGCAGGCTGAGCTGCACACTTTTTCTGCCTAAACTTACAGTTTGGATGGAGGGACCAGAAGTGCAGCTGACCCCAGTCTTATCAGTGAAGAGCCGTACCCTTACACTTGGAGGCATTGTTCTCGGTGGCCCCGGTTACACCACTCCCAAACCCAGTCCTACTGTTAAAATTGAAGTGTTTTCTCCCAGAGTCTTGAGTTCCAGGGACTTTACCTAAATCACCTATTTATCCTCAGTGATTATCCCAACTGCATTATAGGGGCTCAATAAATATTTTATGAAATTTTGGTTACAGAATCAGTAAGGCATTTTGCCTTTCAAATGTGGTAACCAGGACATTTTCGATAGTGTGGGAAAAGTATTTTGTCTTCTTGTCTTCCTCCACCCTCCATAGGACTAAATTGTTTCTTTTTGTTGTTGTTGTTTATAATTGTTTGTAAACTCACTTCCAAGGGAAATATATACCATAGTCTTTACAGACATACTGTGGCTGGACTGAAGAGCTTTGGAGTGTAAAACTAAATTTTCTAGGGCTCTAGGGTCACAAATACACTCAAGAAAGGAATCCAGGTATAGTGGTGCATGCCTGTGATCCCAGTCACTCCAGAGGCTGAGAGAAGAGGATTGCAAGCAGCATGGGCAGCTTAGTGAGGCCCTGTCTCAAAAAGGCCTGGGCCTGTAGCTCAGTGCTATAGCATTCCTGGGTTCAATTCTCAGGACTGCAATTAAAAAAAAGTCATTTGCTGCCTATACCTGGGTTTCCAACGCATCCTAGACCTGACCCTGCTTCATTCCTTGGTGAGTCAGAGAAATGTTTATATTGAGACTCCAAAACCGTTCAGATATTTCCCCTCTAATGAGACATTTCCTGTTCTCTCTCGGAGACACCCCTCACCTGTACCCCTACAGTCAGCCCCTCTGCTTTTCCCTTCTACTTGCCCCATCTTCTCAGTGCACTACCAACTAACGTGCACCACATTGAACTGTACTCCTTCCCTGTCCCTCCCTGTCTTTCTGTATGAATCATAATTTAACAAATAGTGGAGCTATTGGAAGATTATTTTATTCTGCTTCCTCCAACTTCCAAGATTCCATCTCCAACTCCTTTGTCACCGGTTCTTGGAGACATTGTCAGGTCTCCCCTACACCAACCTAAGGTTACGCAATGTATGCATTTGAGTACCAGTGATCTGTGCAGTGTGCTAGGTAACCAGAACCTCCCTGAGGCCCCAGAGAGCCCCCAGGAATTGGTTCCTAAGGTTCTACATACTTTCTCACTCTTGCTGTCTGCCCCAGGAAACACCTCTAGGCCTAAGTATTTGAAGCTCCTACCCCAGCTGCTATGAAGTTTAAAACGCAGGTGGGTGGGAGACATGGGCGACAAGCCTTTGCTGAATTTTTCTTGGAACTTTAAAGTGCACAGGTGCTAAATCTACAGTTGAGAAATACAATGATCCCAGAGGGTTCTGATCCTTCAATAAATGTGTGTTTGGGGCGGGGGACTTCACTGTTTCTCTGTTTAATAGAAAACAACACCAGGAAGCCCTGATAACAGTGGATAATTTTCTCTGGTTTCCAGTGGTCCCTCTTTTGGACATAAGTTGGGCTATTAGAAAAATCTCAAATGAAGTGGAGACATTTTACCATTCCACAAGAGATCTCTATGAATGTTTTTGATCTTTT